TGAGAGAAAAGCACTGCAAAGAATCCTCACTGCACAGGAAGCAACACAATGGGCACAAAATCGACACAGTAAGGGGGGAAACACTTTTTCTGTGACTCCTTTTGGACATTGTAATATAAGATTTTAAGTAACAGATCATGCAAATTCTAACAAATGTATTTTTTTTAAATCGTGCCTATCCTCATGCATTCCTCAGACTTTAGTCTCTACTGTATATACCGTTCCTGTGCGTTCTCTGCAAAAATGGACTTCTATAATCCAACTTCAGAAACAAGACAGTCATCCTTCCCTCTCCCGGTAATCACATCAGATTGTTAATCCCTTCCAATCCAGACAGAAACACTCAGGGAGTGAAACTATCCATCAGTGAAATATCAGACTACATACCTTTGTTTTGGCACTCGCATACCATGTGGTATTTTAAAACATACGAACAGATGATCTTCAAGTTGTTAGTATGTATTACACCCACTACTGTTTGTTCCTCCAGAACTTACTACAAAGAACAACAAACCCAGTACTGCCTTAACACAAAGTTTATTTCCCTATTTTCTTTCCCCCTTTAATAGCGCATGTTACCTGTCAAGGTTTAAGTTTCCCGTATAAATAAATTCCAGGAGTTTTTGGAATCCATCAGCTTTCACTTGAGTCTGATCCAAAACAACATTATTGTCAGACGTGTCTCTGTAAAATGCACCGAAGTACTCGCTGAAAGAGGCAAGCACATTCCTGTGTGCTTTGAACTGGAATTCACCAATAACAACAGTGCAGTCACAAAGAAAGCCGGCTTCTCGCTGCTTGTTCAGTCTCTCCAAAAGGTGCTCACAGTGATGGGAATACTGCATTTTGATAACGAGCTGCAGCCTCTTTGTTCTGACCTGGGAAAGAAAAAAAAATTGATTCACATGCAAGATTTAACTTTGTTTCCCCCCCCCCAACAGAGTAAGTTAATGATTACAAAAGACTCAGTGTTCGAATCCTGCAGGATAGTTTGTGTAGCAGCGCTTTTGTACGAGGTATAGTGATGGGTGGATCCTTCTTAACTTGGGGAGCTGCTGATTTTAGAGACAGAACGAGGGGGAGACGTGTATGCGTCCCCACCCAGATCACAAGATTAGCTCGCCTAAGCTTATGAACTGTCATGTCAAAACTGGGCTCCGAGGGGCACTTTGCAGAAACGAGCCACCCGAGGCTCGGACCGA